GTGACCTGCTTTGCGGGATGACACCCAGCTAACTAATTGAGCCACATTGGTCCAGGTCGAAATGATTTTTTTGAAGAGAAAATGTGTAAAATGCCATAATAGCATTTCTCCTGGAAACCCCTTACTTTCTCATCATAGGTGCCTTTAACTCTCCTTAGCAGATGAGATGAGGGACTTGGCACAAATGAGCTTTCCTCTTCGGCTGTTGCTCCTATTTACATGACTTTCTCTTCCTTCAGTATTATGTTGGCTTTCTCAATCCTAAATGCTTTACAGACGCTCTGTAGAAAACCAACAGCCCCCTCTTCCATCCCCAGGTGAATGAAGTGGCATGGTGAGTATTGGTCCCATTGAGTAGCACCAAGGCAGCAGCTAGTGGAACTGGCACGCCCACACATCTTTATCTTTTGCCTTTCTATCCCGGGACAGTTATTCTCTCTAACATTTCTGTTTCCTTTTGCCTCTCCAAGTGTGTCTGGGGCATGCCAGTGACTCTGTCCTATATTCAGCATAACTTTGTGAGAGTGGAAGTGGGAATGTTGAAAAACTTTGTTCTCTACGGCGGTGGTTCTCACCCCTTAGTGTGTTAATGCCTGCAGAGATCTTGGGCTGGCTGGGAGGAGGCAGCGGCAGGGTGTGCCAGGGTTATTTGCCTCATCAGGACATTTCAGGTGATTACCCTGAAGGTATGGGAAAGTCACCTACTCTGTGCCTCTGTCACTTTCAGATTCTCTACTTAGAAAAAAATTGTCTTGAGCTGTCTGTTTCAGCCTAACAGAATATCGCTAGAACATGTAATCTACAGACAGGTGCAGCCCTCTCTCAGTGATCTAAAAATGCTTCATCTCGTTTAGATGCTTCTCTTTCTAGCATAGCACGATATGCAAGAACACTGGGGGTTGGATTGTCACTCCATTATTACTTGTTCACATTTGATGAAGCTAGACTCACCTCGGGCAGCTATTGACGAAATCGGACATGAGCCATTGACCTGTGACATCGATTCCTAGAGCAATTAATCGACAGAAAGAAATGCTCTTGTTCAAATCACTGAAATCATTCTCAAATGACAAAGGAAAATTCTCATTTGTTTTACTTTTCACTTTCAAATATGATGCACCAGGACTAGCTCCAGCATGGTCTCCGTTAGAAAAAAACAATACAAGAGAATTACAAAGCACCAAAGGACATGTTGACCTTGGGAGAGGACCAGAGTAGACTCCATCGATCGAAACTACTGTGCTCATTCTGGACTGGGCCCCACAGCCAGCTGAGCAGAGGCTTTTTATCTGCAACCAGCAGCCACTGTCCGACTAAGTAGCCACACATGGTCCCTCTTTCAGGTTTTTTGAGCCCAGTCATTTTTGTGGTCCACCTGTAAGGTAAGTGGAAAATATGTGGGTTTTCTTGTTTATAGAACTATAGGAAGTCCCTGTGGGGATAGAAAGACAAGATGTAAAATAAAATTTAGGAAAGAAACACCAACTTTTTACAAAGGAAATGCTAAATTAATATTTGATAATAAAAGAAATTCAATAATATTTCTAGGAACTCTAGTCATTTAATGGTAAAAAGTGGTTATTTTTAGTAAATAGGAATATTTGTCTAAAGGATCTGGACTTGCATGCCAGTAGGAATGATTGTATTTCTGTTTTTCACGTTGGCCTAGTTCTCTTTTACTTGGGGTTCAAAAGTAATAATTTCCAATTTTTAAGGATATAGTTGCAAAAGGAAGCATTAAGTAATTTAAGTCAAGTAGAGAATAAGTTAATGGCATGAGTTAGCTTTTTCACCTTAGAGTTTTTATATAAAATAGAAGCTCTAGATTTTTTTTCAGTGTTAAAGGTATTTTTTATCAAAGAATAGTGACCAGAAGTTTTTAAGTGAATGATTATGGGAAATGAACTGAACTCTATGAGGAATAATTTGGAGGACTGAGTAAATTATTGCTTCACTTAATGAGGTACAGGTCCCAAATTTTTAAATCCAATTTTTTATTTGGGAGTACTTTATATGACTACATTGTTAATTTTTGAATTTTAAGTGATTTACAAGTTCATAGAGTAAAATATAAAAGTCTCATTAATACTGTCTTTAAATTCTGAGAGAATCTTTTAAAATTTTATTTTAAATATTGTTTTTATATATGTATGCACATACAAGCATAAATTTACATAGATGGGTTACCTTGGATAAAAATCAGTCATGTTTCTTTAGAAGAAGAGTCGTTTTCTTTTTGCCTCTCTCTTCTTCCTCCAAACTGCCCCCTCCTTTCTCATCACCTCCCCCAGACCTCCAGTAACCTATATCAATTTCCTGGTGTGTGTTCTGTTCTTTTCCCTCCATGCTCATTTAATCACATGCACATACATCATATATGTGCACACATAATTGTGTACATTTGCATAATTTCATTTTACTTAGTGATATACAATCTCACATTGAACCTATGGATCAACTAATTTGGGGAGAATTAGCATCTTCGCAAATAGTAATTGAGGAGTGAATCCCTGAGTATGGCATATCCCACTGTTACTACATTTAAATAGTCACATCTGCATGTGTGTTTGGCATTGGCAACTGTTCTTTCCTTGAAGCTCCGTCCTGCTTTGGTTTCAGTGGCGTGACCCTCATGTTTTCCCCCCTTCTCTCTCAGGCCGTTTCCTATTTTCATTTGTAGACTTTTTTCCCCATGCTATTTCTCAGGTTTCTGTCATTGACATGCTTTTCTTTCTAGTCCCTGAGTGGTGTCATCTCCCTATTCAGGGACTGTTCACAAATGTTTAAATGTTTATCTCTGGTTTGTACCTTTTTGTTGTTGTTGTTCTCTAGAGCCAAGAGCTTTCTGGACATTGCCAGTTAAATTTTTTTGAATTTTATTTTTCGATGACAGCTGACATTCAGTATTATTTTATATTGGTTTCAGGTGCACAGCATTGTGGTTAGGCAATCATAATTTACAAAGTACTCCCCCGATTCTTCAAGTGTCCCCCTGGAACCATACGCTGTTGTTACAATATTTTTGACCATATTCCCTGTGCTATACTTTACATCCATCCCTGTGACTATTTTGTAATGATCAATCTGTACTTCTAAATCCCTTTACCTTTTTTTCCCACCCCAGCCCCTCCCCTCTGAGTCTTTCTCCTTTTTGTTGGTTTATTTTGTTCTTTAGATTCTGCATATAAATGAAATCATGTGGTATTTGTCTTTCTCTGTCTGGCTGACTTCACTTAGACTAATACCCTCTAGGTCCATCCATGCTGTCACAAATGGTAAGATTCCATTCATTTTTATGGCCATCTCCACTTCTGCCATTTAGTTTTGTTGGGTAAAGTCTGTATGTTTTTTTCCAATTATAATATCTGTCACTGATGTGCTTAAAAAGCCTTCCTCTACTTTGAGATTATAAAATATTCTTTTACATTTTATTTTAATACTTTCACAGTTTACTTTTTTAAGATTTAACACTTTACTCCATCCAGACTTTATACAAGATGGGGAAAAAGTAGGTCTACACTTGTTCATATGGAAAATAATACAATAATGAATTAATAATACAATAATGAATTAATAATACAAGAACAAACTGTTTTGCATACTCACAGCTGTACACCTACTTTTGCCCAACCCTGTATTTGTGTTTGAAGATGAGTAGGGAATTTTTAAAATGTTTTTGCTCTTGTAATTTTGATTTGATACTCATTTGCTTTTTTTTCCACTATTTGTCCATTTTTTATGTTAGTGGGAGTGCTAAGTACTGGGAGGGCTGGGCCAGGTATATCTTGTTCATTGTTGAATTTCGTGGCATCTAATAGGTGCTATTAAGATTTTAGTAGAGGTTGAAGGAATGAATTATGGAGGGAGACAATTGTTTCATTATTTATTTTAACATAATAATACTTTCCTCTTTTTCCTCCATATATTTTATATTTGGAAGTCTTCCACATCTTATGAGATTTTAACCTACCAAGTATTTTAACCTCATTGAACCTTGGAAAACATTAATTTTTTTCAGGGTAAACCAAATAATCTGCTCATGTCAGCTATGCCTTGATTCTTTTCCAAACCCAAGGCTTGCTAGAGAAGCAATTTATATTCACTTTTCTTCTAAGATAGCAAACTTCCATGAAAACATGCTTTTGGGATGTAATCTTATGTCTTATTGCTGTTATTGTTTCTGTGCTTTCTTAGTCTTTACTGCTATTCCATGCCAGTTTCTGAGGGTTTATTTGACTGATTTCTGTTTTCCTTGTAATTTTAGTTTTGCAATGGGAGCCATGGATAATATAGAATGGGGACCTTTGTTTTTCTGCTGATGATTACTCCAGTGAGAAGAATGAGTTTTAAAATGAAAAGATAATCCAGTCCACTATCATTGATTGATGCTGTCTACGTGCAAAGACCAAAATATTATAGAAAGTCCCTCTGTGTACTTATTATGTCTTGCACATTTTTTTTTCTCTGTGAAGGACACACTTTTCCAGGAAAGGGGACATAAGACACAACCATCTCACAACTCACTTTAGGTACAGTGCCACAGTAAGACTTATTAAAGATCATGTAGGATGTATAGTAAATGGGGCACCTCAGATGGGTTGACAAGTGAGCAAAATTGTGGGATGGATGGCATATAAATATGAGGGCCAATGAATATGCTAAAATGACAGTCAACTTTGTGTGGGAGAGAAGAGGATAGGAAGGAAATTGGATCATATTGTGGAGGGTCTTTAGTTTTTTTTTGTTTTGTCCATCCCCCCCCCCCCAAAAAAAAACCCCTGATATTCTTTGGAACCATCCTGTTTCATCAAGCATAGGCTGCAAATATTAAGGCTGGAAAACCTTTCATAGTTTTACTAACATAAAAAAACCTGCTGTTTTGCTGAGCCTGAGTCTTTATATGTTACATCCATGGTTGCTATTAACCTTCACATATTAACTGAGGCTTCACATTTGTGGTTTATTTTTTATTTTTTATTTCAGACGCTAGTCTTCTTACCATGGGGGATTGGAACTTATTGGGTGGCATTCTAGAGGAAGTTCACTCTCACTCAACCATAGTGGGGAAAATCTGGCTGACCATCCTCTTCATTTTCCGAATGCTGGTACTTGGTGTGGCTGCTGAAGATGTCTGGGATGATGAACAGTCAGCATTTGCCTGCAACACCCAGCAGCCAGGTTGCAATAATATCTGTTATGATGATGCTTTCCCTATCTCTTTGATCAGGTTCTGGGTCTTACAGATCATCTTCGTGTCTTCTCCCTCTCTGGTGTATATGGGCCATGCCCTTTATAGACTCAGGGCCTTTGAAAAGGAGAGGCAGAGGAAAAAGTCACACCTTAGAGCCCACATGGAGAATCCAGGGCTTGAATTGGAGGAGCAACAAAGGATAGATAGACAACTGAAGAGGTTAGAAGAACAGAAGAGGATCCATAAAGTCCCTCTGAAAGGATGTCTGCTGCGTACTTATGTCTTACATATCTTGATAAGATCTGTGCTGGAAGTAGGGTTTATGATAGGCCAGTATGTTCTCTATGGGTTTCACATGCACTCCCTCTACAAATGCACCCAACCTCCATGCCCCAATGCAGTGGATTGCTTTGTATCCAGGCCCACAGAGAAGACCATTTTCATGCTCTTTATGCACAGCATTGCAGCCATCTCTTTGTTCCTTAATGTACTAGAAATATTCCATCTTGGGATCAGGAAAATCATGGGGGCACTTCATGACAAGTCAGGCAATGAGGGCGTTGAGGATGAAAGGGGCCCTCCATTTCATTTGAAAAAATATTCAGTGCCCCAGCAGTGTATGATTTGCTCCCCCTTGTCTGAAAAAATCTCTGTACTCCAAGACAATAATCAGCGACAAGTCACCCAGGTGACTGTGCCGAAGTCTAAAACCTTGTGGCAAATCCCACAGACCAGGCAACTTAAGGTAGACACTTGCGGTGGAAAAAATGACTGGGCTGAGAAGGATCAGCACAGCGGACAGCTCCACATCCACAGTCCGTGTCCCTGGGATGACTGCGTTAGAATTCAGCACCCGGGACAGCAACCAGGTAATTCCTCCTTTGGCGCACAGAATGCAAGGTCCCAGTCCTGGCTAGGTATGCCGACGGCTCCAAGGCACTGTCCATCCTATGCAATAGGAAACCGGGGGCAGTCCCAGGACTTGCAGCCCTCAGGGGAGCCTCTCACAGATTTGCGCAGTCACTTCAGAGACAGCAATGGCAGCCTGAGAGAAAGTGGGGTCTGGACAGACAGACCTCGCTCGGGCAGTCGAAAGGCCAGCTTTCTGTCCAGATTGCTGTCTGAAAAAGGAGAGCTTCACAGTGACTCAGGAAGTTCCAATACTCGGCATAGCTCTTGCTTAGACTCTCCATACCACGAAAACAGCCCCTCGCTTCTGCCTTCAGCCACTGGGCACAGAACCTCAATGGTAAGTAAAGACCGGCTGACTGATCCAGGAACTGTTGCAAGAGGTGTCCTGCTTGGGTTCCTTCTTAGCGTCCCCTTTCCTCCTTTGCGGTGTGTATACGTTTGTGTTGAGAGGGAGGTTAACTTGTGGAGAGTTAAATGAATTCATTCAATAAATTCAGTTAAATTCAATTCATAAAATAAACTTAATTGAAAACTTACTTTATATCAATCTAACTTTTAGGTGCTGGGTGTGTAAATGGATAAGATGCCATCTATGCCATCAAAGGGCTCAGAATCTGGATGGGAAACTTAGATACACACGTAAATGTGGTTAAGTGTAAGGTGCATGTTGGGGGTTTGGGCAAAGGAGGTAGTTGTCACTTTTTTGGATGGGTCAGAAAAACCTCCATATTTTTTTATTTTTTCAATTGCAGTTGACATTTAATATTATTTTAGACTCAAGTGCACAACATAGTGGTTAGACATTTATATAACTCACAAAGGGATTGCCCCCGGTCAGTCTGGTGCCCACCTGGCACTGTACACAGTCTTTACAATGTATTCACTCCATTCCCTGTGCTGTACTTTACACCACATGACTCTTTTTTTTAAAGATTTTGTTTATTTATTTTTAGAGAGGGAAGGGAGGGAGAAAGAGAGAGAGTGAGAGAGAGAGAGAGAAACATCAATGTGCGGTTGCTGGGGGCTGTAGCCTGCAACCCAGGCATGTACCCTGACTGGGAATTGAACCTGTGACACTGGTTCGCAGCCCACACTCAATTCACTGAGCTATGCCAGCCAGGACTCTGACTCTTTTGTAACTGCTAATTAGTACTTCTCAATCCCTTCACTTTTTTACCCAACCCCGTCCCATCTGGCCACCATCCATTTGTTCTCTGTGTCTGTAAGTTTGTTTCTGTTTTATTTGTTTATTCATTTTGTTTTTTTAAATAAGTGAAGTCATATGATATTTGACTTATTTCACTTAGCATAATACCCTCTAGGTTCATCCATGCTGTCACAAATGGTCAGGTTTCCTTCTTTTCTATGACCGAGTAATATTCCATTGTATATATCTACCGCATTTTTAAAAGCTTCATAGGTCAAGTGCCTTTGAACTGAGTCTTGAAGGATGTGAGGAGTCTTCTAGACCTAGTGAACTGGCAGTGGATACTGGCAGACCCAGTATCTGGCAGTGGCCACCCCAGGCAAGGGGGCAGTGCAGACAAAGCCTCAAGGTGTGGCACAGCAGGGCTCTCTGGGAACTCACGTCTGGCTGGGGCATAGGGCGGTAGGAGGGCTGTGCAGACAGGGAGGCTGAAGAGGGGAGATGGAGGCCTTGAGGGCAGGCGATGGAGAACTGAGAAGTGACGTGCAGCAGAGGAGTGACTGGGTCAGAGTTGCACTTTAGAGAGCTCTTTCCGCCACAGTGTGGAAAACGGACCAGAGGAGGGATTGTTGGTAACCTTGAGTTGCCCTCATCTCACCAAGGAAGGAGGGGTACTCCATTGTTTTAATAGCTCTGGGGTTTAAAAGTCACATACAAATATTTGGGGACATATTTCACAAAGACTAAAATCAATATTGTATTGATTTTAATTCTGTTTTCTGAGAGGCCACTGTGGAATAAACATTCTGTGACCACTGTAAGACATAATGGCTATTTATTGTGGATTCTTTTCAATTCTGGGAAGAAGAATGACACTTTACCCACTGCTTCTAACAGTTGTTTTTCATTAAAGAAAAAAAAAACTATTCCTAGTTTAGAGTGGAGACTTCCCTGTTAAGCTCACTTGCTTGAGCTCACATGCTTGCTTTTTCCTTTGATTCATTCTTTGTGTTAATAATAAGTCCCTCTAACTCAATTTCATATCTCCTATGAATTTAGAGATATTTTGTTACTGCAGTAAAGCCACAACTCAAGGATGAATCATCCTACCTGGATTTTTCCTAAAACGCTTCTCTCAAACTGATACTCATTTCTTGTCAGTGACCAGTGGTCTACCTAGGAGACCATGTTTAGCATTGATGTGTGGGCATTTGGGCCCCTATGCCAAACCACAGCTGGCTTCTCAACTCTGGCTACAAATTACAGTCATCTGGAAGCTTAAAAAATACTTTTTTTCATGTCTAGGAACCATCAATCCCAAACAAACCAGAATTGGGGGGCGGGGGGTTGGGATGGGAGGCAGGATCAGTATTTTTTCAGCTCCCACAATGATGGCAATGTGCAGCCAAGGCTGAGCACCACTTTTCAGAGTAACCTTGCAGGTGTCTCCTGCTTCTTATCTGCATTTGGGGAGCCAAGAAGATAGTTTTTGGTTCTCAGGCCTGCACTCAATCCACTGAGCTGTACCAGCCAGGGCTCTGGAAGACCATTTTTATCGTGTTCCCTTTCTTGTAACTCCTTCCATGTGGGAGGAGGCTTTGCATTGGCAGAGAATGAGGGAGAGACAGCAACGTTCAGTTGAGGAAGATTTAAAACTTTTTTCAGATTATCTTTTGGGAGAGAAGTTAGCCATGCTCAGGAATCTTGAGCAGTGATTTTCAGTTGGTGTGCCACAAGAATTCACTATTACTAATATTTAATATTTATTTATTTATTATTAGAGAGAGGGGAAAGGAGGGAGAAGGAGAGGGAGAGAGACTTGATGGGTGAGAGAAACATCGATCAGTTGCCTCTTGCACACCCCCAGCTGGGGACCTGGCCCTCGGCCCAGGCATTTGGCCTGACCGGGAATCTAATTGGTGACCTTTTGATTTGCAGGATGATGCCCAACCCACTAAGCCACATCAGTCAGGGCCACATTAATTTTTTAAACCTGGAATACCTGACTAATTAGGTACTAACCTCCTTTCCCTTAGACCGTCAAATTAAAAAAAATGACAACAGCCAACACAAAAATTGCCATCTGGTGTTAATGAGTCAACATTATACCTATTTTTTTGTCTTATCAGCAAAAAATATATTTTTTGGTGTGCTGCAGAATTTTAGTCATTAGTTTATGTGTGCTGTGAGATGAAGAAGGGTGACAATCGCCGGCTTAGAGAAAATAAGATAAGGTGATAAACTCTAATTTTTATCTTCCTCTTTCTTTCCTGTGTTTTATGTTTCTAAGGATGGTAAACAGGGCCTTTGGCCACTGAGCTTATGGTCACTTTTCCCCAAGCCTCTTACAGAGTCGACAGACCACTTTGCTCCCCACGTGGTAGGAAGTCTCGGGATTGAGGCTGCAGCTGCCAAGTCCGAGTGCTGTGGCCGGGCTGGCACATCACGGTTCTTGCAAACAGAGGGATCTTCAGCAGAAGTTAGTGCAGCAGGCAGGGTTAGGGCCATCCACTTTTTATATACAGACTGTAAACTGATTTTTATGCTGTTTTAGGTCCTAGATGGTAGACTTTTTAGGACTCAATCAGACTTTCCAGCCTCCAGAACTGTGAAAAATAAATTTATGTTCTTTTTAAAAAATATTTAAATTTTTTTTATTGATTCCAGGAGCAGGGGAGGGGGCGGGGGGAGATAGAGATAGAGATAGAGATAGAGATAGAGATAGAGATAGAGATAGAGATAGAGATAGAGAGAATGTTGCTTCCCTGACCGGGACCAGGATTGAACCAGCAACCGAGGCATTTGTCCTGACTGGAAATCAAACCTGCAACCTTTCAGTTTATGGGACAATGCTCCTGTCTATGGTATTTTGTTATAGTAGCCTGAACAGACTAAGACAAAGGGTAAGAGTGCAGTCAGGGGGACCAGCTAGGAGGCATGCAGTGGCCCAAGCAGAAAGGAGCGTGTTAGAGCAGGGGTACCACTGATGGTTTGGAAGAATAGGGTGTTTTTTCCCCTTATTTACTGTTTTTCAAATTCAAGTAATTCATGCTCATTGGAAGACATTCAAACAATATAAAAGAACACAGGGTAAAATGTGAACTTGACTATGAGAGGGTTTACCTCTTCTCGTTCCATCACTTGGAGTCAGTCTCCTCTTCTTTCCCCAAAGACAACTGCTGTGAACAGCACGAGCTGCGCCCCCATCCTTCCTTGGTGCATTCTGGATCTGTCTTTGGGGGCAAATATGTGTGCAGACATGTCTGTTATTTGTTTTTAAAAATATAAATGTGATCACACTACAGAGATATGTCTGCAATTTGCTTTTGCTCAAATCATGATAGGCCTCAGGGATCTTTCCATGTCAGCATCCATGGCACTGGCTCGGTGTTATACTAACTTGGGCCTTTCCACGGTGTGAATGCACCATGAGGGGCTTGATGGCCATTCAGCCAGTCTAACCTTTTGTCTACTGTAATGTCTCAGTGACTGTTTCATACATATAGCTTTGAAGGGTACCTAGAAGTGGGATTATTGGTTGTAATGGGTTTGCATATTTTACCCGGTGATAGATGCTGCCAAGTATTGCTCAGGAAGACTAATGCCAGTTTATCCCCTTACTTCTCAGCACAGCAGTACCTCTTTCTCCACACTCTTGCCAATATCAGACACTATCTCCCCTGATCCAGTCTAACGAACAAAAAATGTTTCCTTTTGTTTTACTTACTTACTTATTCACCTACTGTGTTCTTGTTTCCCCCCTTGTTTTAATTTACATTACTGTGATTTCAAGTAAGTTTGTACATATGTTTATTTGCCACCTGTATTTTTTTTAAAAGACTTTTTATTTTATTTTTAGAGAGAGGAAGAGAGAGGGGGAGAGAAACATTGGTGTGCAAGAAAAACATTGATCAGTTGCCTCTAGCATGCCCCCAACTGGCGATGTGGCCCACAATCCAGGCGTGTGCCCTGACTGGGAATCAAACCTGTGATCTTTTGGTTTGCAGGCCAACACTTGATCCACCAAGTCACATCAGCCAGGGCACCATCTGTATTTTTTTTACTTACCTAAGGACTTCTTTCATTGCTTTTAGAAAGAGGAGAAAGGGGTGAGGGGGAGAGAGAGAAACAGAGAGACAGAGAGAGGGAGAAAGAGAGAGAGAGAAATATCAATCAGTTGACTCTTGCAAGCTCCCTGACTGGGAATCAAACCCACAACCTTTTGGTATACAGAACGATGCTCCAACCAACAACTGAGCCATAATGGCCAGGGGACCATCTATATTTTTACGATGAATTGTCCTTGTCTATTTTTCTGCTGGAATATTTGT